TTTTGGTCTTGATGAATAGAGCTTCTATGAAAATTCTCGAACAAGTTTCATTCTGTGAACATATATTTTCATTACTCTTGGGTAAAATACCTACGTTCGAATTTTTGAGTTGTAAGGTAGGTGTGTTTAGTTGTAAAATGAACTGTCAGATCTTTTTCCAATATGGTTTTGTTATTTCACATTCCCTCTAACAATATGTGAGAGTTCCAGTAACCCCATGTTACCCTAACACCTGGCATTGTCATTATCCCAGTCTTTGGTATTGTCAGTCTTTTAAATTTTAGCCATTGTGGTGAATCTGTAGTGGGACATGCAACTTTTAAAAGTACCCCTTCTATACTTATCTTACTGTGTGGACCTTCCTAGCTACCTCAATCCATCTTAGTTCCTGGTTTCTGTAAACTTATTTCTGGAAGCACTGGCTATGAGGGAGAACGGTCTTGTTAGAATGTAAGTGCTACAAAGGTAGGTATTTATGGGCCTAGTAGCACACAATAGGAATTCACTAGTATTTGTCGAATGACTGGAATGGATGAGTGAATGCATACCTAGACTTACTGAAATGAGAATGTAGGAAGACTGTATCTGTGAACACATCTGTTGAATCGCCTTCTGAACTCTCCGCTGTCATGCTGCTCACTGCTCTTCACTTCCTTCTGATCCCCCGATTCTTTGCTCTGAGTTTTTTTTGTTCTTGTTGTTATATCCCAAGGGTGACTCTCCAGGAGTTGTAATATAAATATCCACCCCACCGCGCTCTCTCCCTCCTCCCTTCTCCCTCTCCGTCTTGCCCTCCCCTTCCTCCTCCCCTCCGCCTCCCTCTCCCTTTCCTTCTCTCTCTCTGCCATTGTCTGACCTCAGCTATGAGGTATCTAGGGCATCCTGAATAAATATTTTCATCTACCTAAGTCTTATAGTCTTCATCTGTAAAGTTAAGAAGGTAGATTACCTAAATTTTTCTACCACTATGGTATAGTAATTCTGATTCCTTCCTTACCTCAGTTAAAGTCAATAATTCCCATGACAGCCTTGTTTGCTTTTCTTTTTTTTTTTCAAGGAAAAGATACATTAGGGATTAGGACCATGGGTTTGTTAAAAAAAAATTCGTGCGCATTGGAAAATTTATGTTAGAAAATAAATAAAATTGGGATATATGTGGACAAAAGTACATTGGGAACATTTTTAAGTATCACATAACCGTAGGTACTCACTTGTGTTCTCCTTTTGAAATAATATTTGCATTCTTTGTCAAATTTTACAGTCTAAAGAAGGATGTCATTTGCTCAATATAAATAAAAATGCCTTCTATTGAAATGAATAGAAATTGCTGTTCTGATGAGAATTAATGGAATAATAATAAACTTGACTTATTTTAAATGTTCACAGTGTTCCATTTATGCCCCCACAGTCTGCTGCGTAATTCTAACTAGGGCAAAATTTGCAAATCCAAAGGCCTAATAAGCAACCTTCAATTTACAGGTCACCAGGACCATCACAAGGGTTAAGTTAAAAAAATACTTTAGGTAATTATTGCAAAAACTTGGCTTACAAGATCAAAGGGTAATATGAAGCAATAGAAGGAGAAGTTGATGTTAAAAAAACTGTTAGGATTAGTATATGAATAACTGACATATGCAAATTATCTAAAAAGATAAGTAAAGAAGCTACTTTTAAAAGCATTTTCATTGCAAAGGTGGCAACCTGTGTCTCTGACGGTTGGTAATAGGATTGCTGGATCTTTGGTTTTGAGTGAGAATGCTTCAGTCTAAATGAGCAGAGCAGACTTGATGGGTTAATATTTATAGTCAGAGAATGTGAGTTGTATGATAACAAGGCTGTGGAATTTATTGAAACTAGTTTTGGGCCTAGAAAATGATCACTTTTAGTAGTTTTTCTGTGAGTGATTAAGAAAAATGAGCAGTTTCTAATCCTTGGGTGCAAGATTCTATTTGTACCCATGAAATCAAGCTTGTTGTTTGGGTTATCAAATCTTTTATATGTTTATTGTTTTTGGTTACTTGACCTGTCAATAGTTATGTTTGGTGTCTCACACTTTGATGATATATTGGCCAATTTCTCCTCCTCCTATCAATTTTTGCTTTATGATTTTCTTTGAATGATTGTAAGTATTTTATTGGGTGCATACACATTTAAAATTGGAATATCCTGATGGTAGTAAATAAAATTTATAGGAGGCCATTGGTTTGGACTAAACTCCTGCACTAGGCCAAACAGACCAAACCCAAATGGAATGACTCATGCTGAAGTGCTATGTCACCAAACTGAAACTAAGTTGTTTATCTGCCATTCTAAGAAATCAGGAGAGAGAGAAAGAGAGATAGCTAAATCCCCAAACAAGCCAGTTTTATCCAGCATGGTAAGGAAGTCCCCTCTACTTTAACCTTTACAAGGAAAG